CTACAAAAATGAAATAAAATTAGCGAAAAAATAATAGCAATAACTGCAAAATACTTATCTATTAGTCTAAAGAATCAAGAAAGTTTAATCTAAAATCTACAAAGTGAAACTTATAAAAACGAAATAAAATTAACAAAGAAATAATAAAAACATTATCAAAACTAATAAGAATAAAAATTCTGCCTATCTTATTCTTTATCTATAGATAAGGTCTGATTTTATCTATTTCTAAGAAGCTAGCATTGTTCCTACTCCGTATAAATGAAGAAAAAAAAGAAAAAAAAGTTAGAAACATTCTTAATTAAAATAAAAAATCCTCTATTCTGTTAACTTGTCTATAAAGTTTAGTTTTGTCAGGTCAGTGTTGTTCCTATAAAAAGAAAACTTTTCGTTAGAAACGTTTAAGTAAATTAAAAAAAAATAAAAAAAAAACTTACTTGTTCAAATCTCTAAGTTCTGTTACTAATCCTTACAGAAATAAAAAAACTCACTTATTACTTTTATGATATACATTTGTCAATTAAAAGAAAAAAATTATTGCTAATCTTAAAAAATTACAATTTAAGTAGTATACGAAGTGACAAAATTGGTTAGTAACAAAATTAAAGTTTTTTTACTTTCTACTGCTAAGAAAAAATCTATGCTATTTTTAGATTTTATCAACTTCTTACTATTTTTGGATGCAGATCATTTTAGTGTAATATTTACTTTAACTCATTTTATCTCAATTTTTTATTATGCAAATCGATTTCCATTTATAATTGAAAAATGTAGTCTATACTGAAATCTATTCAATTCTAATTAAAACTCATTTTTGGATTTTAGTATAGTTTCTTTTCTTTCTATTGCAAAGCGTCTATATAATTGGTTTTTAATTATAATAGATTTCAATAACTGTAATTTTATATTAATAAAATAAAATATATAAATTTAGTAATAAAAAAAAATATTTAAATAATAATATAATAAAAAATTTTTAAGTTCTTTTTAATAATTATATCATTTGAATCATTTGAATCATTTAATTGTTATTAATGATTATGATAAATATATTATAAATATATTTTATAATATAATTATTTATGAACCTATAAAATTAAATAAAAGAACTAGTTAGATTCTATTAGAATTTAATTCATATAACTGAAATCTAATTGAATTGAATTGGTCTATCTTTAAATAGAATAAATAGAACATTTGAAATATTTAATTAGATTATATAACTAGAATAGCAAATTTATAGATATCAAAAATGTATTTTATTATTTATTATAATAATATAATTATACTTGGATAATTATTTTAACAAGTATTTTTGAATAAAATTATTAAAATGTATTTTTTAAAAAATTTTTAAACTTTAAATATTAGATTATAAAATTTATAATATTAAAATTTTAAATTAAATAAATTAAATAAATTACCCTTTACCATTCGTCCGCCTATGCTAAACATGTCTTTTACATATCAAAATAAATAAATAAAATACATAATCAAAAAAAAAAAAAAAAAAAAAAAATCAGAATCAATTTTTGATTGGAGAATTGTATTGTTACACGGTTCGTCCAACTTTAATATAAATTAATAAGCCACCCAATATTAAAGCTGATAGAAATTTAAAAAATTGAAGACCGAAGTCAAAATGACCGATGATCTTGATGTTGAAGCTATGCTAGAGGCTCCTTTTCGTAAAGGCCAGGTAGAATTTTGTTTCTAAATTATTAGTTATTCATTATTTATTCCAAAATTTCAACAAGTTTTTCATAGGAAAATAATGAGATCAACGCAATTAACGGTAAAACTGAAAAACATCACAAGGAGGATAGAAAAAGGTAATTAAGCAAGTTTCTTTTAGTTTTAGTTTAACAAATATCTTTAACATCTCTTTTTAACAGTGAAGAACGACGACGTCACCGAAGTTCTTCACGTACTTCTAGTCATCGTCAGAGATCACAATCTAGGTCTCGTCGTTCACGTAGATCACGCTCTAGATCACGAGTACATAGAAAGCGTCGGAGTAAGTCCAGGTCGCGTGAAAGACGACGAAGGAGTCGAACTCGTTCTCGTGAAAGAAGAAGGAGAAGCCGTAGTCCACGTAGAAGAAGTCGCAGTCGAAGGTGTCTTTCCAAGCTCTATTCTAATATAATATATTTTAAATTTATATTGATATATATATATATATATATATTTTTATTCTAGTGAGCGACGCCGAAGGTCACCAACTCCTCCTTTAGATGAAGAGGAACGTGACAAACGTACAGTTTTTGTTATGCAACTGGCCGCACGTCTTCGTTCTCGAGAACTTGCTGATTTTTTTGCAACTGTTGGAAAAGTTCGTGATGCCAAAATAATTGCAGATAGAATATCTCGGAGGTCAAAAGGGTATTTAATGGCAATATAATACAATATAATACAATATTCCTTTAATTATAATAATTTATGTATATTTTTTTATAGGGTTGGTTATGTTGAATTTTATGATGAAGAATCTGTTCCTAAAGCTTTGGCTTTGACCGGACAAAAACTCTTAGGTATTCCAGTTATTGTTCAATTAACCGAAGCGGAAAAAAATCGACAGGCAAGATTGGCAGAACAAGCGTAAGTTTATACAAAAGGCTATATTATATTGAGAATATTTGAAATGATTTTAATAATTAATTTTATTACATTTAGAGCCTCGCATGCAACAGATATTGCATATCATAGACTTTATGTTGGATCAGTTCACTTTAATCTGACAGAAGACGATTTAAGACAGGTTTTTGAACCATTTGGACCCTTGGAATTTGTAAATCTTCATAAAGATCCCGAAACAGGTCGATCACGAGGTTTTGCTTTCATACAGTAAGAAAATTTTTAATTCCTCTGTGTTTGCTTGTATTTAGAATTGTTTATTAATTAATAAATCAATATAACAGATATAAAAATCCGGAGGATGCAAAACAAGCATTAGAAAAAATGAATGGATTTGAGTTGGCTGGAAGAACCGTAAGTCATTAAAAGGTTTATTTATGGATTATTTATTTTGCGAATTTAATCATTAAACTTTTTTTTTAAAAATAAAAAAAAAGATCAAAGTGGGTCTTGTTACTGACAAAAGCAACGGCATGAATTTAAACCTTGATGATGGTGGTTTGTGTTTTTATATATTATTTTTTGAATTTATTTTTGAAACGAGTGTACATGATAAAATAAGGATTTTGTTATTTGTCAAAGATGTTGCTGGTTTAGCTCTCAATGCACAATCACGAGTAGAATTAATGCAAAAGTTAGCGCGAGATACAGATTTAATCGCTCCTGCTGCAACTCCTGTTCAACCAGAACCGTCAGTAATTCATACATTATGTCTTTATTTTTTTTTTTTTCTTGTGATGGAAAATGTGTTAATTTGCTTTTAAATTTTTTTAATTGTAGTCCGCGCCCAGTTCAACCTAGAGTAAATCCAACTCGTAATGTCTTGTTAAAGAATATGTTCAATCCTGAAGAGTAAGTTTAAGTTTAGTTCTTTTTAATTGGCAAATATCAAAATCTTATTTTAAACTGTTATGATCCTTTAGGGAAACTGAGTCAAACTGGGCTGAAGAGCTCGAGGAAGATGTGAAAGGTGAATGTGTAAAATACGGACCTGTTGTTCATATCTCTGTTGATAGAGAGTCTGCAGTAAGTATTTCTAAACATATTTGTTTATTTGATTAACATGATTACGTGGTTCTAAATGAATATAAATATTTTAAGGGAGATATTTACATGAAATTCGACAGCGTGTCGTCCGCTCAGGCTGCAGTGAACGGTCTTAATGGCCGATGGTTTGGAGGAAATCAAATCTCGGCAGTTTTCATTCTCGATATGTTTTATAACGTTCGGTTTCCTAAAGCCGCAAATTTATGATACCTACTTTATTACACTCGGACAATTTTCATTTATTTCTTTAGCTTTAATCAGACTGATCGATTATTATTTGTGGATAGTTTTTAGGTGTTTTCATAGGAAGGAAATAACGACTTGCCATCATATGAAGGGGAAGTCTTTGCATTCTATGTGCGTCCGGGTCGCACCGTTGAGAAGGCGATGCAAGAGTAATTTGTTCATATTTGTGTGTCATTGTACTATAAACCCGTTTTCTCATGTGTGGCATGTTGAATTTATTCTTTATACAGTAGTTTATATGAAAATTACCACTGCGCGAAGCTATCATTATGATATCATTCATACATACACAAAGGGTTGCAAGAGAAGTTAATTTTTTTATACTTCATTTCTTTTTTTTTTATTTCACTTCATTTTGTCCTTTTGGTTTTTATTGTATCTTTTGTTGACTGTAGTTATAGGATAAACTCTCAATCGCAAGGCCCAGTAACTTTCGAATAAAATTGCTACCATATAACAGGTGTGCCGTGGAACGAAATTCTTGGTATACGGATGCCCTTATAATTTGATTTTTCTTATTTTTTTTTTTTTTTTTTTTTTTTTTTTTGGCACCGGCGAAAGAATACCACGTCGCATCCCTGTTGCTACTATACATATATATTATAGAAAAAAAATATATATATAATAAATAAATAAAAGTAAAGATAAAAATTAAAAATAATAAAACACACCAAAATAGTCAAAAAAAGATCAACATCCCGGATTACATAATATAATTTGTTCAAGTTGATTTAGAGTCACGTTTATATAAATCTTGTGACGTTGATATTAGGCATGTTAAACTTGAAGGGCTGAAAGCTAAAGTTCTCATAACACCGAGAAAACATACATCTATTTCTTTTACTTTTGCAGGTGCAACTAATACATTTCTTCAAATCGTTGGACTCATATACTTTCAAATCTAATTAAAAAATATACCTTTTTTAATATATACTTTTACAAAACATAAATCCTTGAATAATCTAAAGATCTGTCAAATTCGTCTGTGACGGTGACAGGAAAACAAACCGAATTAAACGACTTTGCTTATCGTAAATTAAACATTCCTTTTTCTATTTCTGGGAGAATTTCAGATGCCTGACGTTGAAGACAGTAAACTTGATTCAAATGGGTCCAGCAATCAAACATCTGCTGATTCACCAAAGTCAGACATAAACATCCAGACGCCTGTAGTAAAATTAGATAACAAAAAAGATCCTGATGACGCGAAAAATGAAAAGAAAAAAGTGGCAAAGTCTGTCTTACGCTATACAAAAGTACAGTTACTGGCATTACGCGATAGTCCACTTGTAAAAAAACCAGATGCTTTACCTCCAATCAGTGTTTGGTTTGGGTAGGTTTATTATTTTTTAATTAATTAATCGTAACTTTAATATACAATTAACTGTTATTTATAGATTTTTTAAAAGTTTTTAGTTACTTGTATTAATTCAAATTCGCCCTTTTTATAGGGAACAAACAAAGAAAGAAAAGAAAGTTGGTGCTGATGGAGCTGTGGAGACCGACAAGAGGTAATCTAAATCATTATAATAGTTATACTATATTATTTACTATATTATTGAAATTTTGACCGATTCTTATTTGTGTTTATATACGTTAGTAAAAATAATAATGCGCTTGGATCAGAATTAAATAAACCAAAAGATGATTCATTAGGAATTCCAAAGAGTCCTTTACTAGGAGTTTCAAAAAGTCCTAATGGATCTGCACCTACATCTCCTAAGCCATCAGGTGCGAATATTTAATTCGATTTCTATTTCTTAGTATTTATCTAACATTTTAAATATAATTCAATTATAGACAAAATTGTTCTTGGACCACCAAAATGGAACTTTGCTTCATCATCAGTTGGAGGATTAAAAGTTGTGGAGGAAAAAACGGCACCATCAAGGACCGGTAGATCAGATGGAATGCGACAACGTCAAGTGAGTGTTATATTGGCTTAAGACTATTAGATGGCATTTCAATATTGAATCAATTGTTTGATATTAAAATTGTAGGTAGTAGAAGACCTTTCATATATGCGAACTGGAAAAGACTATGAACCACGAGCACCACGGGGACCATCTGGTGGTCGCGGTTTCATTGGTAGAGAGGCATTACGAGAACACCGTACTTTGACAGAAAAGACAACGAAAGAATCAGTTGGACATACTCACGGAACACATGGTCGTGGATTTGGAAACATGCGGTCTCATGATACAAGTAGAAGTATTCGCCGGGAAGGTAAAGACGATTATTTCCATTAGCTTTGTGCTGAATCTTATTAAACACTTTCCATTATATTTAGGCATTGGAGGAAAAGAACATTCTGGAAGAAATATTTCAAGATATCAGCATGTGGAGGATAGGGAAACTCCTGAATGGATGAATTATAATCCGCAGACTGATGAAGATACAAAACACTTTGACAACGGTGAAACTAGTGATAAAACTATGTTTGACCTTCAAGCCTGGAAGGTACAGATGAAAGAAAAGGATAGAGAACAACGAGAACGGAATGAGAAGGAAAAGACTAAAGAGCGAAAAGAAACATCAGAAAAAGGTCGAGCGCGGAGTATTTCGCGAGCCGATAGTAGTATATCTTGGAGGCCAGGAAATAAAACTGTGCCGACTGAAGAAACTAATAACGCTTCAAATAATAAAGTTACAGAAATTGTACAGGAAGGATCGAAGGAAAAAAATTCAACAAATTTCGATGGTAATTATCTAGATTTGTATTTATACTATGAATGTTTGTGTAATTCTTGTCATTTATTTATAGATTAACTACAACATTTGAGTACGTTATCGTTTGAAATTTAGATTCTTCACCATCATTAAATTTGGCCGATGTGGACCAACTATTTGGCCCTGGCGGAATGGAGTTGAATGTAAAGGAACACTCAGGTTCATCGGCTTTTAATAAATTTCTTTTTCAGCACGAACTTGCTATGACCGAAGACAATGGACCTAAAACCGGAACTGGATCGCATATAGAGACAACAATTCCTCGAGAGCAAGGGACATCTCGCTTTGCCAGATTTTTCTCTCATAGTACCGAGGAAAATATTCAAGAAAATGACCATATGGAAAGACCATCCACATTTCAAGTGTCTCCTCAGAATCTTCCGGTATCAAACGAAATGTTAAAACCTGGTCCGATTAGTCTTGATACTCTATTTCAAAGTCAAGTCGCCACACCATCTACTACAGCATCTATTTCTCCCCGCATTGCACCAAGTGAAGGAATACGGATCCTTCCTGGAATGCTCACTGAAGAGGAGGTTTTACAAACTTTAGGAGCCAAGCCTCCTTTAAAACCTGAACTAAAGGAACGAAATTCTGAAGACGAAGCCGCTATGTTTAAAATATATGCAGCTTTAAAGAAAGGCCCCGTACGTTATTTTACCTCATTATTTTATTTTATTTTATTGTTATTCTTTATAATTAATTTGATAATTCTAAAATTTAGTCGACTTCGGATTTACCAAGTCAGCTGTCACATAATGTGCCCATATCTTCTTCACATCAGTCTGTACAATTTCAACATTCAGCGATTACAAATTCAGGATTACCTTTCAATGATCCTTCTATAATCAGTGCTCAAAAACCAACCACTATTAACAAAACTAATATATCAACACAAAAGGTTGATATGTCTAATCGACATCTTGGTATTTCTGAGTTAGCTCCAAATGATCCTGTTAAGAAGGTCAATATGCTTTTTGGAGGAAATGTTCCAACTTCTGTTTATCGTCAATTGAGTTCAAGGTCAGATAATAGTTCCAGAGAATCATCTACTGCTTCTTCACCGGCTTTGAAATTCAATCCCAAACCAAATATTTCGAACTTTCCACACTCGCCACAATCTTCGGCAATTGTTCCTGATCTTCACGCATCGGTTTATAAAACATCTTCCCCTCGTTCTCCTATCATTTCTCAAAGTCAAAACCCTTCACAATATCATAATATAGTTCCACCTTATTCCAATGGACAAAATAATCCTCAACATTCTCATCATCGACAAGAATTTCCTCTTCCTGTCGGTCGCAACATACCCGTGGATCAATTGTTTAATATGATACCACAACCTCCACGTAATGTTCCTCAACAAATTCACCCCCAATTCCAACAGCCTCCAATGACATCTTCCATGCCCCCTCAAATACCATTTGGTTATCAACATGATCGTTATCCACAGCAACTTCAATTTTCTGGACCTCCGCCAATACCACCACAACATATTTCTGTACATCATCATCCTGGATTGTTACCTCCTGGTACGGAGGCTCTTTTCGCAAATATGCATGGATATGCACAATTTATTCCAAACCTTGTAAACAATGCAATTGCACCACATACCATACCCGGTACTATATTTTTAAATGTAAAAAAATCAACCTTTTTTTAAATATATATATATTTATATATTTTTTTTTTATCATTTTTTTTTGATTTAGGTATTCCAAATAACACGAATATGCAGCAACGTGGGATGATGACTTTGGAGGAAATTGAAAGGAGAGGAGGTCTTGGTGGCCGTTAGGTTTCATACGCATATAAGGACATGTATTGTTTGTTTTGAATTTTTTCCTTAATTTTTTCTTTGCGTCTATATTATATTTCATTCCACATCACCCTTCTTTTTTTACATCTTGATAAATGCACTGTAATTATCATAACAAATGTTTTTATACATTATATATATATTTCAATAATATTTTCAGCTATCATAAATACTAGTGTAATATTTTTTTTTTTTTTTAGAAGAAAAAGGAATATACAATGCGATTTTCGGTTAATCCCTATATTATTTATACCATAAAGCGATCATTTGTTAAGTTGGTCTATTTTTCTGGAATACCTAGGGCAGGTACGTCTCGTCTTTGTGAGATGAACATACATCATTAATTACGTGGTCCTGTCAATATAGGTAGAAGTTTGTTGAAAATACCCCAACTACCAAATAGTACGAGTTGGGTATTGTCAATAAAATTCAGATATGCGATGTATATGAATTTTCGGAGATTTATAGCGCCAAAATTATATCGTAAAATATGAATAACCATAAGGTTTCATATTAGCGAGCAGAGTATTCAATTGCAATTTGTAAAATATAATTTAGTGTATAGATACTGGAATATGTTAATTCGGTAATTTATTATCTTATCATTTATTGCATTAGTTAGTCATTCATTAGTATTATCAATTGTTAAACAAATTATCAATTTACTTATATTGAAAGAACTATTATCATTAGAATTTATTAAAATTTATTATTATTTTATTATTGCATTAATTAATACTGGGAATAATTGTAACATATGTATATATGATGTCAACGATTTACCGTTGGCCAAATTATAAATATCAGTTTTTCAATATAGTATATTATTAAATTTTTTTGAATAATTTAATTATATTGTATATTTTTAAGTTAATACTTTATATAATTGATCCTTTAAGTTTAACACTTAATTTTTCATTTAATTATAATATAAAAAAAAAAATAGGGTTGATTTAAATAAATATTTAAAGTAAAAAAATTAATATTATATATAGAAAATATTATTTATCCTTTAGACTGTTTAGCAGGCAATTTGTTTACAAATTTAAAAAATAAGTGTAAATTTTTTAATAAAATATTTTTAGTAATATAATAATTATATGAAAATATGGTTTAATATATATTTAACAACTTTATTAGAAGAAATTTTAAGTTTATTAAGAAGATTTTTAAATAATTCAATTTTAAAATTAAGTTTTAAAATTTATTATTAAAAATTTCTTTAAAATACATATATTTACAAATTAATTAAATCATGTTACTACTAATAAAAATTTAATAAATTTATTAAAGTTATTTTTCATGATAAATTTTATAATATTCTATTATGATTAATATTATTAAAAATAAAGATTAATAAAATTATCAAAGGTCAATAAAAAAATTTTTAATATATAAAATTTTTAATATATAAAATTTTTCAAAAATAACAATTTTAGTTTATAAGTAACTTTAAATTATTTATTAAAATAAAAATTACTATATAATATATATTTATAAATTAATTTAATAAAAATTTTTTAAAAAAATTTTAATTTTTATAAAAGTAAATCAAAAGAAAATTTATAATAAATAAGTAGGCAAATTTATTTATGAATCTTTATAAATTAAGAGATAAAAGAATATAAAGTAGAAAAGAGATTATTATATTAGAGAATGGAATTTTATCTAAACTTTTGTATAATTGTAAGAATCAATTAGCATTGACTCAATTATTAAGCTGATAGACAACAGAATATTTTATATAATCTTAGCCTGTATATATATAGTCCTTTATATTATTTTAGACTAATAATTTTATAATAAAATAATTTTTAATACAAAATTTATTATAAATAATTAGAGTTTCAGATAAGTCGAATCAACTCACGAGTTAGATAAACTGAGTCAAGTTTAAATCAAATCAAGTTTATAATTTTTTGATTTAATAATTTACGAGTCAAATCAAGTTTGAGTTGAATTAAATATTTAATTTGATTTGAACTTGACTTGACTCAAGTTGAAAATAAGTCTTACTTTTTAAGAATAAACAAACTGGTTTATTTTTTCTTCCTCTGTTCTGTTATTTTTCTTTTCCCCTTTCTGATTCTTTTTCTCATTTTATTTTATTTACATTTTTTTCATTATTTTGTATTTTTTTATTTTATTTTATTTTATTTTTTATTTTTTTTCAATCATTTTTCTTATTTCTTTCCCTTTCCCCTTCTCTTTCTGTTCTTTTTTTTCATTTTCTTTTTTCATTATTTTTCTAATTTTTTTCTAATTTTTTTGATTTTTTTTTATTGTTATTTTTTATTTTTTTTTATTTCATTTATTTTTTCTTTTTTCGTTTTCTCTTCTTTCCCCCTTCTGTTGATTTCTTTTTTTCTGAATTTTTTTTTTGTTTTATATTATTTTTTATTTATGTTTATTTATTTTTCTCTCCCTCTCTTTTCATCTACTTTTTTCATTTTCTTCTTTTATTATTTGTTTTTTTGATTCTTTTTATTTTGTTTTATTTTTTTTTTTAATTTTTTTTTTTCTTTTTATTTTTATATTTTTTTTTCATTCAGCTTTATTAAAAACAGTTCATATATTTTTTTAGCATACACATACATACACATACTCTCTCTAGGCCTTATTTGGATCTTTAGAACTTACCGATAAGTGAATTAATTCTTCTTTCTTGTTCTTCTTAGATTAGATAGACTTCTTTGAGAATATTTACTAATGTTTTTTTTTCTTTTCTTTTTAGAATCGGCTTTCTTTAGGATCTTGGAAACCTACTGGTAAGTGAATTTCTTCTTCTTATTCTTCTTGGATTGGATGGGCTTCTTTGAGAATATTTACTAATGTTCTTTTTTCTTCTCTTTTTTAAGACTGGCTTTCTTTGAATCTTGAGAACCTACTAGTAAGTGAATTCTTTCTTCTTATTCTTCTTAGATTAGATGAGCTTCTTTGAAAACATTTATTAACGTTCTTTTTTCTTCTCTTTTTTAAGATTGGTTTTCTTTAGATCTTAGGAACTTACTAAGTAAGTAAATTCCTTCTTTTTATTCTTCTTGGATTAGATAGGCTTCTTTGAAAACGTTTATTAACATTCTTTTTCTTTTCTTTTTTAGAACTGGCTTTTTTTAGATCTTGAAAACTTACTGATAAGTGAATTCCTTTTTCTTATTCTTTTTGAATTAGGTGGACTTCTTTGAAAACATTTATTAACGTTCTTTTTTCTTCTCTTTTTTAGAATTGACTTTCTTTGAATCTTGAGAATTTACCAGTAAGTGAATTAATTTCTTCTTCTTGATTAGATGGGCTTCTTTGAGAATGTTTACTAATGTTCTTTTTTTTTCTTTTTTAGGACTGGCTTTTTTTGGATCTTGAGAATTTATCGGTAATTAAATTAATTCTTCCTTCTTATTCTTCTTGGATTGGATGAGCTTCTTTGAGAACATTTACTAACATTTTTTTTTTTTTTCTTTTTTAGGACTGGCTTTCTTTAAATCTTGAGAACTTATTGAGTAAGTGAATTCCTTCTTCTTATTCTTGTTAGATTAGGTGGACTTCTTTGAGAACGTTTATTAACGTTCTTTTTTCTTTCTTTTTTAGGACCTGCTTTCTTTGAATTTTGGGAACTTACTGGTAAGTGAATTCCTTTTTCTTGTTCTTTTTGAATTGGATGAACTTCTTTGAAAATGTTTACTAACGTTCTTTTTTCTTTTCTTTTTAAGAACTGGTTTTTTTTAAATCTTATAAACTTACTGAGTAAATGAATTCCTTCTTCTTGTTCTTTTTGAATTAAATAGGCTTCTTTGAGAACGTTTACTAACGTTCTTTTTTCTTCACTTTTTTAAGACTGGCTTTCTTTAAATCTTGAGAACCTACTGGTAAGTGAATTTCTTCTTCTTAGATTGGGTGGGCTTCTTTGAAAATGTTTACTAATATTCTTTTTCTTTTTTTTTAGAACTGGCTTTCTTTGGATCTTGAGAATTTACCGGTAAGTAAATTAATTTTTCCTTCTTGAATTAGATAGGCTTCTTTGAGAATATTTACTAACATTCTTTTTTTCCTCTTTTTTAGAACTGGTTTTTTTCGGATCTTGAGAATTTACCAATAAGTGAATTAATTCCTTCTTTTTATTCTTCTTGGATTAGGTGGGCTTCTTTGAGAATGTTTACTAACATTCTTTTTCTTCTCTTTTTCTTCTCTTTTTTTAGGACTGGCTTTTTTTGAATCTTGGAAATCTACTGGTAAGTGAATTCTTTTTTTTTGAGTTGGGTGGGCTTCTTTAAAAATGTTTACTAACTTTTTTACTAATATTGCAGAAGTCCGAAATACTAAAACTTAGTGAAAAATTATTTTTAAGAAAAATAAATTTTTTTTTATTTTTAATACTTTTTTTAAAATAATTAATTTTATTTTATTTTTTTTTATGATTTGATTTAAATAAAATAATATATAAAACTTAAAAATAATATAATTTAAAATAAATTTTTTCTTTATTTAAATATTTATAAGTTAATTAAATTTTGACTTGAAACTTGATTTGAACTTGACTCAACTCAAATAAATTCAAATCAAAATCGAGTCAAGTTAAACTCGAGTTAAGTCAAATTGAGTCAAGTTTAAAATTTATATAACTTGAATCAAATCAAGTTGTAAGATTTTATAAAATAAACTTGACTCAACTCAATTTGAAAAAAACAAGTTGAATAGAGTTGATCTTTAAACTCAACTCAACTCAACTCATTTGGAACTCTATAAATAACAAATTTTTTAATCATATAAAATTCAATTTATTTATTTTATTAATTAAACAAAAAAAAAATAATAAGAAAAATAATTTTTTAATATTTTATTTATATTTTATATAAACATTAAATAAATATATATTTATTTATTTTATTTAAGTAATCATTTTATTTAATTATATATTATTATTTATTTTTTTACAAATACTTTTATTTTTAAATAAAATCAATTTTATATATAATTATATCTCT